TTGATAAAACCTGGGTTTCATGAGTCCAGTACTGTTCAATCATAGCATGAAAAAGAAAATGAACATCATATTAAACAGAATCAATTTAATCTCAAAGGGAAAATCACAAAAAAAAATACAAAAGGAAATTAAAGTAGAAAGTCAAGTAGCCACATTAACAAGCTCGACTGCCTGTGAAATAACTCAAATAAATAAATTAACACGTTGTTTCATAACCTACTAAAATAATAATCATACAGCTCTGCAGAGTTTGCATTTTCTGCTTCCTACACTTCTTTTCTGGAGGTGAATCAAATGTCAGGTTAATATGTAAATGCACTGAGTTTTTGAGGTGCACAAGGAGGGAGTATTTTCTCATATTTTTGGAATTCTTCAGTGACAATACACGTTAATCAGCGTTTAAATGGTGTAATTAATTAACACTGGCCTGATTAATTAGCCATGAAACACCAATAAAACAACAGGACATGCTTTTATTAATTACAAAGCAACAATTGCACTTACAAACTTCTAATTTCACATATTTGCTGCTTGTAAAGTTGATTTCAAAAACTTGCATTTGCTGCCAGCTGAATGTCGGCACACTCGGCAGCGTTGTGGCATCTGCTCACTTTAGCTGCGCTGCCTCTGGCCAAGTAATGTTTGCCAGATCTGGCTAAGTTCTGGGTGTGTGCGTGGACGTGGGCCAGTTTGGGCAGAGAATTAACCAATTTAGCTGCATTCGAACTGACTATGGAGCGAGTGCGGTGACCTGAAATTGGGCAAAATGCAAACCTGGTTCAGTTTCATCACGTGGGATTGGGCCAGTTTTTTTTTTCAGGACGATTCTGGGGCGTCAGTCGTACAGCACCTGGGCCGAGTTATGTCTTCTGGCCTGCCAGATTTGGGCTTTTGTCGGGCCAAATAATTTTGGCTTCCTCTTTTACGTGTAAACAAATGATAGATGCTGGCATCCACACAGCAGGGGGCGCTACAGATAGGAGTTAATGCAGCGTAATTGACTGCCAAATATCATTTAGCAACCTGGAGTCTGGGCTCCTAAAAAACATTAACATCCAGAAATAATCAAGAGGGCAACCAACACGTTTATCCTTCCCCACGAAGGAACTCCAAAGTTGAAATAATCAAGTCAGTTTTATGTACAAAACCCAGAACACAGAATGCAGCAATCTTTACTTTGATCCCTACATTGTCACTGCAGAGAAGAAAACAAGGGGAGAAAGACACTACTGATAAAACACCATTTAAAAAAAAGCCCTCTTGTACGGTCTTGTATTGTAAAAACGAGCTGAAAATATTGCTTCATTCACTCTGCTTCCACCACCATTCTCCACCATCGCTGCTTCTTATTCTGCCCGGTTGCATCTCACTTACATCAGCCGCCTAAATCAAAAGAAGTCCACTGTGATCTTCAAGAAGGCCGGATTCACAGGACTGTCTGACGTACAGTCAGGTTTCGTTAATGTCCTCGCTGAAGGAGCTGGTTTGATTGTGGTTTCAGATGAGTTTCTTAAGTGAGATCAGAAGCCGTGATTGCACGCAGCTAAGACAAAAAGGGCGTGAGCAGCCCAAGCAAAAGCCAGCAATTATTCATGCACTATGTCTGTGAATTAAAATCAGAAATGCAATTTAAAATATGAACAAAAAATGATTGAAAGACAGAGCTACACACAAGTAACCACGTATCTTCTAAAACGCTGAAGTGAATATGATAATATTTGCAGGCCTTAATAATGCATGGACCACTTCTCATATATGTATGTAACGTGATGAGGAGGAACTGAGTGAGGAGGAACTCTTGTTTTCTGTTAATATCCTTTTGGTCTGCGTGGATCCACATCGGCAGCCTTCAGTACAGTCCAGTATTGTAATGCTCCAACTACATTCTGGTTCTCACATGCTGACAGAGCAAAACAAATAATATACTATAAATGACAATAAAGGGCTCCTGATATGACAATGATGAGGACAGAGAATGAAGAAATAGTAGCAAATATATATATATTAAAAATGAATGCCTAGTCTTCCAGTCAACACTATTTACAGTGGCCATGTTTCAGATGAATAGATGTGATATGAGGTTAAATTCAGTACACTGGACTGAGCGGAGCAGGTGAAGCCAGCAGCAGGAAACCCCCAGCGTTATCACCGACTAATGCATTTCCCCAAGCACAGGCTTTCATATTGATTGTGGATGTTTAGTACGTCTGCTGGGAAAGGAGGCGGTATGGACGGTATACTGTGCTGTATGTGCAGCAGATGCACACTGAGTGGAGTTCTGCATTTAAAATTCATAAATAAGGTATTTTTTCTTATTGGTTCTTATTCACTCAATGGAGTGTAACTGAAAAATTAATCTAGTAGATTTTCTGATATTAACAATTATTCTTGAAAACCTGGTTTGTCAGATGGAGTGTTCAAGCATTGCTGATCATTAATCTAATAAAAGGATTTCTTAAGTTTAAGCTGCAGAACTGGACATAAATGGTATTAATATTTACAGTGTGGATGTATATTTTCTTCTTTTTTTAGGCTGTGTGTGACATTAAAGTGTAAACCATGAAACAATGAAATAAACAAATCAGCTGTTTACTTTTTTGCTTTGTGTCTTTATTCTGGTTTTACACTTTGCTTTTTTTTTTAATGACCGTTCTACAAATAACGACTCTAAAGTTAGGATAAGATCTTTGTTGAACATTAATAAAATATCAAAAGTGAGCTGAGAAGAAAACCTTCTGTTGTTATTAATACATGTATAAAGAACCCCAGAAATGGAGGGTAATCTTTTTTTTTTTCTTTTGCGGGTGAAGAGGATCCTGTTAGCTAGTTATTGTGTCGTACAGATGGACTGCAGACTTGTGACAGGACAGAACATCTTACATACATACATTTGCTACAATACAACAGAGAACAATAAATGTAAGCTAGAATTCACAATAGCTTTTTCTATAATCCCCCCGTCTCAAAACCAGAGCTTATTAGAAATGAAATATATTAAACACAAAATGGGCTTCAGCCTCTCATAAAGCATTTCTTCACAGGATGATGAATAAATCTTCCTGTTTCTATACAGACACTTCAGAAAGTATTCAAACCACTGGATGGCAATTTTAAGCATTTAACACTAAATCTATAACAATAAAGTATTCAAAGAGCTCTGAATACTTGGTGAATTTATCGCAGACTTAATATGCATTAGTCTGATTTCATCAGCTTTAAGTTAGTTTTCAGACTTTTCACAATAAGAACTGATAATGGAGGCTCAGAAAACCAGGATTTATTCACATCTATTTATTTAAAGATTATTTTTGTTCAGACATTTTTAGGCCTTTACTGTGTAGACAAACGGGAGATATGAGGATAGAGAGCAGGGGAATGACATGCAGCAAATGGTCCCCAACCAGGAATTGAACCGGAGACCCGCTGCTCAAAGCCTTTGCACGCATATGGCAAAGCCCCAATAAAAGCCTGACTTCAATGAATCAGACAAATTAAACCTGAATTGTTTTGTTTCCAAAGTGCTGAAATTCACTAAAAACAGGCTTAAAGGAGGCGAGATGGGCTGATGGCTCAAGTTAAAAGAATACCAGGTACAGATAAATGTGTAGGTGCTCTGTAGGGTACAAAAACAATTCTTCATTATGGCAAAAAATGTTGCTGTTTGTATGAGAGACACATCTGTATACTGGAAGCAGCAGCAAACACACTACTGAAGATCTCTATAAAGATGGTATTTGTATGTCCTGGACGAGGTAATGTGTTGAAGTTTTGTTCACTTTACATTTAGTCACTTATATTCATATAAAGTCCTTTTATTGTAATTAGATAGCTGCAGGTGATGTTAACGTATCTGCTAACTTACCATCTATGAATCCCATACAGCTACTTGAACCAACGTTGTGCAGTAATCCAGCTGTGGGGTAGCCCAGTGCTGTCATCTGTGGTCAAAGCAATAAAGCAAACAAACATGTTTAAGGATCATTTCATATGAAGTCAACCAGTTTCTGAGAATGTTCCCAGGTCACCCTTTCAGGTTCCTCTGGAAAAAAACACACACACAGGCACTCCTATGACAAAATTGTGGAGAAATCCTAAATATTTGGTCTCTATCACTAATAGTTTTAACATTACAGCTCTTTGAAATTTGAGGTAATTTTCTGGTTTTGCCAAACTAGCCTCTCAGACCTTCTTCCGACATGAATAGCTCATACAGTATGGCATATGGAGCTTTGAAACTGTTCATCTTAGGCTAACTTTTCCCATAGAATCAAAAAATGTAATCTGATCTGGTGTGTTGTCTTTCTCTAAAAATGGCCACAAATTCAGTTGTTAAAAAAAGGACACCGTCTGTTACAGTCCCTCATTTAAAAAGTGTGATAGATAAAGCACTCAGAACTGTTTTCCTCTCATGTATGAGGTGTTAAACCATATTTATGCACTAACCATGAGCATTGGTACTATGGGAGATGAAGAATACATTTTTGAAATCTGCTCGATTTTCAACTTTCATGAATTTTGCACATTTTCATGCCCTGATTTGACCATGTGGGCAGTTCACCATCATATTTTTTACTATGTGGTCTTATAGATCTGAAGATGGTCTAACTCAAATCTGGTTTTGTTGTTGAGCACACTGCAGGTGTACGTCAACGTGGTAATGGCGTAGACGACACAAAAATTATATGCAGTGACTGTGACGTCACCCACCGATTGTCTCAAGGACTTTTACTATCTTGGTCTTTGGACACCGGATGAGTGAGGGGTGAATCTGACTGAGAACTGGTAGACACTACAAAGGCCATATAATCATAGGAATAGCCTCGCCTGTAAACACACCCTACTTTATCATCTATTTTACACTAAATGAGACCAGAGTTTATAGAACGGACATCATACTGTATTAAACGAGACATGTAATTAGCAATTGAAACCATAAACTCATCAATAAAACATTTACTAAGGTAATAAATCAAGCGACTTCTCATAGACTTACATGCAATCTGACTTCTTTTTGCATCCAGAGGAGTCGCCCCCTGCTGGCTGCTAGAAAGAATGCAGGTTTAATAATCAATAAAGTTTGCATTTGAGAGGCTTTCTACAACTTTTTATACAGCTTTTCACTCCCCCCAGGACCTGTAAACAGACTTTGACATGTAAATTGTGGAGCAGTTCACTTTAAAAAACATCAGTGCTTGAGCTTATTGGATGAGCTTCTGGATCCAGTATCAGTCTGCTGGCATGAGTCAGCCCTGCCCTCAGGAAAACTGGCAGCTAGCAGCAGCACATCGAAATGAAACACGCCCCTGCTTTATTCCAGCTGAGCATTTAGAGGAAAACAACGAAGAAAGCACCGCCCATTCTCTGACTCACTCGTGTTATTGTTCCGCTGGGAGGAGGCGCATATGGCGAAAGACAGACACCAGCTGCAAGACAGAAAACTGGGATAATAATACTGCAATCTACAGCAAACGTGAGTTTTCAGCTCAACTCAAACTGTCCATATGAACTCAAGTGGGACGCTTTCTACTTCCTGCTTGTGTTTTCCGCTGCACTCTGACAGTAAATGGCCTCTGGATCAGAGTTGAATCTCTGCTGTCCGATCTGCCACGACATCTTTGACAATCCCGTTCTTCTGTCATGTAGCCACAGCTTCTGTAAAGCCTGCCTTCAGAGGTGGTGGAGACAGAAGCAAAGTCACAAGTGTCCTGTTTGTCAGAGCACGTCTGGAAGGAAACACCCACCGTGCAACTTGGCTTTAAAGAACCTGTGTGAGGCCTTTTTACTGGAGAGAGATCAGAGCGCCGAGACTCTCTGCGGTCTGCATTCGGAGAAACTCAAACTCTTCTGTCTGGACCATCAGCAGCCGGTTTGTCTCGTCTGCAGAGATTCAGAAAAACACACGGAGCACAGGTTCAGACCCATCGATGAAGCTGCGAGAGATCGCAGGGAGGAGCTCCAGAAAACCTTAAAGCCTTTAGAGAAGAAACTAAAGCTCTTTAAACGAATTAAAGGAAACTTTGTCCAGACAGCAGAGCACATTAGAGTCCAGGCCAGACACGCAAAGAGGGAGATTAAGAAGCAGTTTAAGAAGCTTCATGAGTTTCTGAACATGGAAGAAGACGAGAGGATTGCTGCTGTAAAGGACGAGGAAAAGCAAAAACGTGAGATGATGAAGGAGAAGATGGAGGCTCTGAGCAGACAGATAGAAGCTCTTTCAGACACCGTCAGAGCCACTGAGGAGGAGCTGAGAGCCGAAGACATCTCATTCCTCCACAGTTATGCGGCTTCGGTGGATCGAGTCCAGCGCTGCCCCCAGCTGGAGGAGCCACAGCTGCACTTAGGAGCTCTGATAGACGAGGCCAAACATCTGGGCAACCTGAACTTCAACATCTGGAACAAGATGAATGAGGTATGTGACCACTCTTACAGTCCTGTGATTCTGGATCCAAACACTGCTCATCCGGGCATCGTCCTGTCTGAAGATCTGAGCTGCGTCAGATGGGGAGAGAGGCCGAAGCTTCCAGACAACCCGCAAAGGTTCGACAGCTCCTGCATCGTCCTCGGCTCTGAGGGCTTCGAATCGGGGCTTCACAGCTGGGAGGTTGAGGTGGGAGACAGTTCGCACTGGATTCTGGGTGTGGCACCAGAGTCTGTGGAGCGGAAAGGACATTTAGACTCCAGGTCTGGATTATGGACCGTAGCGCTACATAAAAGCACATACAAGGCTTTCTCCCCATTAAATCCAATGTTTGCTCTTCCAGTGAAGAAGCAGCTCCAGAGGATCAGAGTCGATCTGGACTGTGACCGAAAAGAACTGAGCTTCTCTGATCCCAACAAGCTCATACACACCTTCTCATGCACTTCCACTGAGGCGCTGTTCCCGTTTATCGGCACGAGTGACGAATACCTACTGAGGATACGACCACATACAGAAAACAACACCAGTTACAGTGACGACGACGATGAAGACAGTGATGATAACGACTTTAAATGTGACAGTTCTGATGACTCCTCTGTCTTTGCCTCGGTACTGAAGTTAATGGAGTCAAGAGAATGAAACAAATTTGTTATCCCTCCTGCGCTTCGTGGGGAAATATCGTGACGACTGCTGGATGGATTATAATAAAACTGACAAAACTCCACAAAAAAATAACCTCCTCTAACATTCATGATCCTCTTATGACTTTGTCTACACTAGGGCATGCCTGAAGAATCAGATGACAAGTGAAACCACATAAGGGAAACAAATTCTTCCCGTACAAATGTCTTTCAAGTAGAAGTACTGCCTATTATGTCTCCATTTTTCTCTTTTACAAATGAAAAAGAACCATTGCATCAACACAACCCTGCATGTATTTTGCAGAACTGAAAACTGCAGTTACTAAACTAAGGAAATTAATCAAGTTTCCTGAGAGCACAGATTAGTAATTTCAGACAATGACTAGTGATATCTTAAATGTTTCTGAAATCAGATTTACATTCCTTCACATACTCAGCTGATAACACAAAGATCAACACACATTAAGAATAACAGCGATGGCATGGAAAATGCTTGAAAACTAGTTTTTATTCGAACTTTACTGAACAAAATACATTCCATATGAAACACACAATAAAGGCATTGCCAGAAACTACTGGCTTCTGAAACACACATTCACAGAGAAAGGAGAACATTTTCAGTCTTAAATAGTCGTTCTGAGTGTGAAGGTGTCACAATATTAACTGTCATCATATCGGCTGGAGTCTTAAACTCGGAGAGCAACCTTTGGCTTTTTGTTCAGCAATGTCATCCTGAGAGAAAGTCCTTCTGATGAGTGAGAGGATACAGAAATAGACAGAAACAAAGAAATTGATGATATGTGTTTCCATGGCGACAGCGGCTGAAGATGTACTGACCAGTAAAACTCAAATCTCATGAAAAACCAACATCGATGGATCCACCGTGTCAAAGAGCTCACTTGTCGTTATTTTAAATGTGTCCAGTCCTCACTAGAGCAGCAAATGTGGAATAATCTGCAGTTTAAGAAACATTTGGAGCTGTTTCAGGAAATTACTCAGCCCTTTCTGATGTGTGGGAGGAGTTTTTAGAGATGTTCAGCAGGAACTGCCGGGCTTAGAGCAACAGGCACACGGCGGAAATCAGATATTATATCAACCAGGGGAAAAAAAACAACACACTGGTTTTCTCATGAGACTTGAGACCTTTATACAAAATGTACTGAAGAGATGTAATTTTAATATCATTACATTACGTTTATCTGAGATATTTAGACATTTGTTTTAAATTTATGGTACTTACAGGAGCTGCTTGCTTCTTGTTTTCACAGTTTGTATCAAAATTAATTTAACCTGAATCAATAAAGCATTTATGATGATCTATATTGTGTTTTGGCTGCAACACATTCCAATGTTGAAAAGAATGGTTGAATGGTTAGCTTAGCTTAGCATAAAGACTGGGAATACAGAGCTAGCTCTGCTTGAACCACTGCATTTACTCACCAAGAAATCATCCCTTTTACACCTCAGGTTCTGGATGGATTAAATAAGACAGATGTAAAGAGTTTGGACAGAATCAAGCTAGCTGTTTCCTGCTGTCCCCAGTGTTTATGCTAAGCTAAGTTAGCAGGCTGCGATCTGTAGCTTTTTTCTGCTGTTAAAATGCCAAACTACTCCTCAAGCCCAGAGTACATTTGTGTACATTTTCTCACAAGGTACAGTTAAACATAGATGACACATGTTGTACTTTTAAAGGCAGGTTCTGATTTTTGCTTGACTGGCTGCTTTTGGAAAAAGAAGAAAAAAATTAATTTCAGATTAAAGACAGGGACTTTATTCTCTGCCTGGTAGCACGGAGGAATCTTTGAAACACCATTTAGTTTGTCACGAAAGGCATTAATATTACAGAAAATCTAAATGAAAAGTTGAATAAATATATTCATGTGACAGACGCCAGACTTTCAGATGTTGCAACAAAGATAGAGGTGTTAAATAAAACAAAATGATACGTAGCAGAGCTGGAGTGTGTTTCTATCAGTGGAAGAAGAACCCTGATGTCGGCAGACCGCCACACCACTGACTGATGAACTTGAGGACGTCCTGACACTCTGGACTGTGAGTGGTCTGCAGGGGGAGAGGGACACAAACGACAACCAGTCAGGGAAAACAGGCAGATAAGATTAATAAGCACGTAACCAATCAGTTTTTCTGCAGGACTGTTTTAATGTGTGTCTAACAATTTATTCATTCTTCAATACAGAAAAAATATGTCAGTGTGTTTGGTGTCTTCAAACTCGCAGCCTGAGACATTGCAGTAATCTGATTACTTTTTCCAGTCGTAGCGTAAGGCCCTGATTATGCAACTGGACAGCTGTGGACTCCATGGCAGCGTAATTGTTGTAATTATTTAGTCAGGATTCTGCTAGAAGACTGTGTTGCTTACATGTGCAGTAGGTCAAACACATATCTTCCTTGCATATACATTTTATTTGCCCAAGTAGGGATGTCACAGTGCAGACACAGATTCGGAGCAGCGTGTGGATGTCTGCTGAGGGGAACATATATTAGTGGCTTGAAGGATTATAATTTGAAAATGAATTATGACGTTACAGCTAAATGCTGGTTCTGTAATATATTAATTACAATTTCAGTTATATATCATGTTTGATTGTGACTAATTTAAAAGAACAGGTCAACATTTTGGGAAATAGACTTTTGAGAAGCAATGATAACATCAATCCTGTGCTCATACGAGTAGTGTAGCTACAGGTAGCTGTTAGCTTAGCACAAAGAAAAGGAAACAACTAGCGTTGCTTAATCTACTGAATTTCTTGGTCAAGAAATAATCCTCTTTACACTATCGTAGTAAATAGTACTTTGTTTTGTCATCAGTTTTACTTCTACAATAGCAATTTCCTTTCTTTATGCTAAGCTAAGCTAACAAGCTGCTAGCTGTAGCTTTATATGGGATGTATGGACAAGAAGCAAGAAAGCAAATAAACTGATTTCTCAAAATGCTGAATCATTCTTTCAAGCATCTTCAGTCAGTCATGTCCACAGTAAGATTTACTGCATGTACATGTTTGGGAGGTTTATAAATCCAGTGGTGCTGCGTTACTTTGATATTTTGTAGGTTTGCTCACTGGGCGCAAATTCAGCTGTTTGTGTTCAGCTACACATTTGGGAAAACAGTTCTGTGAATAAGGAAAAGTGAACTAATGAGCAATGTAAGATGGTCGTTTTGCAGCGGAGTAATTATTGAGGTGATATAATTAATTTTTCAATAAATAACACACAGAGAGTTGTTTTCAAGCTAAGTGCTGAAGATATCTCTACTGGGTTACATGATTAACTTACTGACAGAAAAGCAATTGGCACCAATTCTGATAAGTGATTAATTAATTTTTCACTCGTAGTCAGGCAAAAATGTCAAAAAAAATCCTGCTGCCCAAATGTGAATATTTGTTCTAGTTTTATGCAATAATAATCTTTATAATAATCCACATCTTTGGGGTTTTTTTTTACGGTTCAACTGGTCAGATAAAAGCAATTTGAATATGCTAACTGCAGCCTCAGGGAATAATGATATTCAATGCTTTCTGACATTTCATACGCTAAGCAGCGAATTGATTATTCAGCATTTTCACCTGAGATATCGAACATTAGCATGTCTCCAGATGTGCTCCAGTGGATGTTGTGAAAGAGATTTAATATAATCTGGACACTTTTTTTCAGGATTTGTTCCTAGTGAAATATAAGGAAGGTGTATAATCTCTGTCTTGTTGTTGAGAACCATCACAGTGTCTTCACAGTCAAACACAGTCATGAGCCGGTTTTATTCAGTGGAGATTTGCTATTTTCCTTCCTATTTTTCTCACTTTTCTCCTGTAATGGGACACTCCAGCACCATGCCGTCTCACCTTTGTGGCCATGAGAAATTTGTTCCAGTCGTCCTTGTTGGCTGCTTTTCCCGCTGATGAGAACTCGATTTTATTCCTCAGCACGGGGTAGCCTGAAGACAGGAGCACCACAGAGTGAGGGCTGCATGCTACGTCTGTGTGCACAGTCAAGCAGCAAACTGGAAAATCAACACCAGCAGCCAAGTGAAGGTATGTTATGTGGATAATAAAGGTCTGGTTGGAATCAGATTATATTTTAAATTAAAATTCGAGGAGAAAACTCAAAACTCCTTGAATGTTTTTAAGGAGGATCCGTAAACAGAAACATTGATAAACAATTTTAAACACAAACTGAACAGAAAAAAATGAATAAAATAAGAGGAGAAAACACAGAAGCATAATATTTCTAAAGAGGTAGGAGCAATTGAATGAAATTCAAGCTGAAGTGTTGCTGTTTTGACACAGTTTAGGGGATTCAGCACTCATCGCAGATGGTGCTTGACATGCTTACACAACTGAATTTCTAGGGAACATTCCAAATGTGACAGGAGCGCTGAGAGCGCTGCATCGCTGCACAAGAAGACTAATTTGAAGGAGATGTCAGCCAAATTTAAATCAGGTACACTTCTTGCATTTTATAGGCACAGACCTTGTGTTACATTTATGAGGTAATATAATAATAAATAAATGTACAGCTTCAGTGGACTACAGTGAGTTATAGATTCAACAGTAGGTAAAAACTCCACTTGATGCTGTTACAGTATTTCATATATTCCTTCATCCTTTTTTCACAAAATAAATTATAAAATCATTGAAGTGTTTCTGCTGCTGCATCAGATCAGTTTGCCTGCAAAGAGTTTTAGTTTGTCTGATTTCGTTTCAGTTTTTGAGCTCAGCAGCTCTGATGAAGTGCTGAACATGTCAGCAGTGTACAGTGTGTATGAGCATGTGTGTTACCGGTGAGGACACAGGGCAGCGAGCGAAGGCCGGTGTTTGCAGCCACCAGTGAAGCTTCATACGAGTTCCTCTCATCACGTGGCAGAACCTGCTCCAGCCGATGGTCCATGGACACCATCAGCACCCAGTCACGGATCTGCTCCCGCTGGGAGTCCTGCAACAAACACAGTCATGTTTCCATCACTGCAGAGACTTTACACAGACTTACATTCATTTCCTGGAGATAAAGCATCACCCCTATGCTGACCTCAAACCAAGCCTTCAATCCAAAACTTAATGATTTACATTTCGGGGACATTACTTGTCCTCAGAAAGACGTTGAGCCGCCGTGACCTGACTGTGCAAACATATTTATGTCACCACAACACAGAAACGGAACCTCTTTGTAGACATCAGGATTGTTCAGACATCTAAAACCTTTTTAGAAAAGCAAACCAGGATTTGACAACAATACAACAAGCAGCTTGGTGGGTTACCTTTTATTTTTCCAGTAAAAAGAAAAAATTCAAATAAATCACTTAAAATGATACAAAAAAACAAAAACGCAGCAATTTAGCAGATTTAAAAAGCTATGCTCACATTAGAGTAACATTTAACATATTAGAGTTTTTGCTTGATAAACATCCATCCAT